GAAGTGTTGTTTGGGATTGCCTTGTTATGTAAACGTTTTATCCAAAACTTCCGGCAAATTAATTGTTCGGACGCTTCTGTTTAGAATAGAGGGATTACGAAATATTCGCACATTCGCGGACATGGAGTTCCCTTTGTAGTCGCCTAGGTAATTACCTACAAGTTCAATGACAGTGGTTTAAATAATATGCTGGAATGTTTGCCTTCCTTTGGTAATTAGATGTTTTCATTATTTTGAAAAAGCTGACAACGTCCAGGTGTTGACAGAATAAGTAACAGCATACTAGAAATATTAGTATGATACAAAAAATGTATATCTACGTGTAATTTAAAAGAATTTGGCTCAGATCATAAATTAGTACTTATTTTATTTACAAAGTGCCAACTGTTATAATTTTTTTTTTACATTTAGAATTGCTGGCAATACAAAGGTAGCTATTATAATCTGCTAGGTAGCCGTTTGACAGTTTTCTTCTGTTGGCAAGAATAGATTTTGAATTTCTGTATTATAAGTACAGTACTATATCACTAACAAAAGTATTTGATTTTCACTTGGTGTGAATAAAGTGAACCATTTTGCTTATTTTTATTTAAAAAAGTGTAATATTTATCAGAATGTATTATATATATAGTTACATAACATAATAAGAAACTCAAAAATGAATTACCTAAGTACAGAGCTCAACTAATAACATCTAAAATAATAATCAGCGAGATATTTCTTTGACAAAAATCATTTACTGAAATGTAGATAAATTTGAATGTTGGAGTTTGTCCATAATTTGTTGCCTTCTTTGCCATCCATGTGACGAATAAAATGATGAGTATTGTTATTGTTATCCACAGACTGCACTTTCATTTTTTCACCAGTGATTTTACTATCATCAACAGATAGAAAAACCTAGTGGTCCAAAACGTGCCCGTGGAAGGCCACGCAAATGGGTAAGTACTTGTAGTCAGTTCTGTTCAATTTGTACATATACTTAAATTGATGAAACAATAGCAGTTGGTGTGTTTGGGCTGCTCTATTGCCAAGTTTTACTACGGACTGTCAAATCAGACTGTCAAATCGGCTAACCTTAGTTAGACAATGAGTAATAGTGGATCAGGAATAATCAGTAGGTGGGCGGATTAATGTTGGGATGTAATCCTAATCCGTTGTGTATGATTTCCTTTCTGTCCCTCCCCCAGATTACTCATTTACTCAGTGTTGTAAACTACTTCTAGCATTGCATCCCCGCCCCCAGTGTGTGCATAAGTTCTTGAATTGAAACCTCCAATGCATCATCACCTGTGTCAAGGCTTTTCCTGATGGATTATTTCAGTTATACGTGTATCTTATATTTTCTATATACTATGCTCTATTCTTGAACAAAGTATTTACACATTCCTTTTCATGGAAATTAAATAAAATAATATGAAAAGAAACATATATATATATTATGTAAACATACATTACAATTCATTTATGCTTACATGTGATTAGATACTATAAAAGAAACCGAATTATGTAAAAATAAAAAAATTCAAAGACTAAATAAAAACATGGTGCAAAAACGAAATGCTCATTATAGGTGCCACTAAGATTTTATTTTGCAGTGGTGATTGGGTGTATTAAAGCATTGGACTGCATTAAAAAGTTGGATAGTCAGTATAAATCAATAACATTTCACAATTATTCCTATTCTCCTCATGGCAAAAAAATCTATTTGAAACAATAGTATTGTTTATGTTTATAGATAATAAAAGGTGTCCTGTCTCCCATCTCAGGTTTGAAGGTGTTCGGCTGCAATTCCGACTAAAAGTACATGTCCTGTTGCAATGTACAGTTTTAGTCTTTGATTTTCCTGTTCATATCATTGAACTTGTAAAGGGATGCTGTCACTATTGAGGAGTATATAGAACTTACAGGTGTCTTGTAGCAATTCAGACATAAAGGTGTTCTGTCGCAATAGCGATGGACATGATTATTATTACAAATTTGCAGTATAGGAAACAGATTAATTGCGGGCAACATGCGCAGATGAAAAAATATATGATCAACTCCATTTTTAGTAATTTCTAATGAATCGCAGAAAAGTTTACTACCTGTCCAGACATTGCAAAAAATATATTTCACCGGCACAACAGTTATAAAGACACCCATCAATATTCTTGATTTTGATTACTGATTTGTTCTTCTAAATCAAACAACCTCAGGCATGTTGATAAGGTGATCATGAGTAACTCAAATCATTGCTATTTGGGCTTAATAATGTTCCTGTCATAATTCAGACTTCAAGGTCACCTGTCATGAATATGTTTGAAATCTCAGTATCAAAAACAAATGGGTATGTACATAGAGCACAAAACCCTTAGTTTCTTATATAATTTTGGATTATGCATGTATTTTTCCATTGAGTATTTAATATGGAAAATCTCTCTTAATACTGATTATTATTCATATTTATGTGGATAATGCCTTTGATGTTAAGCCATGTGACATTTTAATATGTAAAAATTGCCAAAAATTCAAATATAATGTTAAAAACAATAATTGGTATGTTATTCTATGTCATATATTAACCATGACAGATGCTGATGGATGGAAGACGGAACTAGAGTGCCATGTGACTCATTGTTTCACTTTCTTTTTTATTGCCGCTTTTTAAATTTGAAGTGTTTCATTGGAGTGTTTGGTGACAGAGCTTACGAATAAAAAAAAAGATATCGATCGTAATGGGTGATTTGGGGGCTTAGAGATTAGGTTTTGACATGGGTCATTAATAGTCAAGAGACTGAGTATTGTAGTATTAGTAGCGACCACTTTAAGCTTGGATGCAAATATATAGAAATCAAGTTTTGGATTTGTCAGGTGTGCAGTGTTTCTACATAGAGGTTATGTAATGATATTTATATCTCGCATTCATCAGTGTCATGTAGCAACACCCCACCCAATTAAAAGCACCATGGGATATGGGAGAAGGTTTTACTTAGGGACTGCTGTATTTTGATCTGGAATTAAATATGCAAGCATGATACTAAGAGTTTATAATGAGAATACAGCAAAGTATGCACAAAGGTAGTATTTTGATAATTTTGAACGACGCATAGCAAAGGTCGATGCAACCCTGTACTTCCTAAGTTCATACTTTGCAGTATTCTCATGATAACCTTAATATTATACATCTTTTTCCTGCTTGTAGTAATAATTTAATGAAGGATTATCACATGAAATTGACAACCAAAAATGTTTTGCATTTTGCAAACTTATGCATTCAATGACAGGACTCATATACTGAGTCCAACGTAAATGAATGTTTGAATGTGATGTCATTAACCTTTAACATGTCAATGTTGGTGATGTAGTTCACCCCATATAAGGGAAAACTAGACTGAATGCTGATAATTTGGAACATATGTTGATACTATTTTTATGGAACGACAAATCCTATTGATTTTGACACTAAATAAAGTGAAACATTTTTTTCATATATCATGGCTGTCCAGTGTAATAAAGCAGTGTAATCATTTTCCATATTTCCATACGGTGTTGTAAAAATCCTGGCAATCTGATTGGTCCATGCAAACAGATTGCACTTTTGACATGGCAGAGTGTCACAGAATACACCAATATCTGATGATTTCATAAAATATTTATTGAATTATTAATTATAATATTAATTCAAATTCCATCTGTATCTCCGTGTAGGCATCTGAGGCCATTTGAATTAAGTTTGAACTTAAAATACTGACCATGTATGATGATTTACATATGCATGTCGATTTGTGTTACCATTTGGTCAAGTATGCCTAACTGTTGGTGTTAAAAATTTGCTAAATTCTGATTCTTAAACATGTCCAGAACCGTTTCTTGGAGATAAAGATGGCAGATACAATCAAGCTTTGTATCAGGATTATGCATATTGAGTTACAGGTGAAAGTCATGCTTTTTCCAAGATTCAAACAAAAATGGCTGACTGATGACCATTTTCATGTCCTTGCCAATTCCTCAGTAATAAATCACCTGGTTCACTTGAAAGTTTGTACACAAGTACTGTACTCATAATGTTGTGTTATTTTGTAAAATTTGTTGATTTAATGGCCCTTTTTTTATCTAAAATCATAAAATCAAAGCCTGTAAACGTGTCCAAAACCTTCTTGGATGATTTTATTCAAACTTTGTATCAGAACCATGCCAATTGGGTGAAAGGTGCATGTCATATTTTTTCAAGATTCCATGCTAATTCCTGTATTTCTTGATTCTGTTCAAAGTTTGTATATAAATACGAGAATCACAAGTAATACCATAAGTTGTGTTATTGGTGTGACTTGATCAAAAATGACCTATCTAAATAGAATCTCGTCACTGACAGAAAATGAGTGCGCAGTCACGAATCTCCTAAACTGCTTTTCCACTGGCATTTCTGTCAGCTGTATTTCACTAAATTATGACTACAAGCAGAAATGTATAATAATAAAGTTATGAGGATAATGCACAAAGGTAGTATGAAAATTATATCAACAAGGCGTGTAGCAAAGGTCTATGCAATCCTGTACCGCCTGAGTGCATACTTTAGCGTAATTCTTGTAATAAGCTCATATCATTTCCTATACTGCTTTGTATAAATGTGTAACAGCAGCATCTTTCTTTGTAATATGTCATTGGATAATTGAACCGGAAAATATCTTAAGTATTCACTTCAAGTACTGTGTCGTGACAGATGAAAACCAATACAGCAAGATAATTTACTAGTATAATGGGACTGCAGTAATAGCAGCTTCAGTCTTTCTTTAAATAGCAGCATTTGGTTTGAAAATGCCTGAAATTGCGCGTGCAGAAATAAATTTGTACTCTATATTTGATAAAATTATTATAATTATGATTTAATTTCTTTATTAACAGCATTTTAAAGGTTCTTTTAGCAGGTTAGGAGCAAAATTGCATGTTTGAAAGCCTTCAACTTTTGAGCGTCATTTTTATGTAAATTACGTATTTTACTGTGTATATGTATGTTGTAGCATGGGTCCCATATTAAACACCTCATAGTAGAAGGTTGCTCATGGGTTTTTTTTTGCATGTGTTTATTTCATATCTCTCACTGTTGACAATATCTAGTGTCAAAACCTGTCTAAAATTTATTGTTTCACCTGTATGAGACTTTTTTTTTGTTCACTTTTTTTTCCCATGTTTTGTTATTAAAAACCTACTAAAAACAATGTCCATTGTTTAATACTTCCTGACATCAGCAAACATCATGTAGAATATCTTTATCATGAAACAAACTTTTAAGATGTTTCAATTCCATAGGAAAAAATTATAAAATAAAATGTCCTCTGATGAACAAAACTGGCTATACTTAAGGCGTATCCATTATTTTCCAAGCTGTGTCTTCTGACTTCATATTACTATTCAAATTTTCTTCATTCTTATAACATCAAACTTGAATATAAAGAAAGTTAATACATAATTTTTATTTGTGTCTAGCGTTTTACTTTAACTGGCAATATTAAATTAGTCATCCAGGGTCCTGTAGTTGTAAAAGTTTCATTGCTCGCTTTAGTTGCTCTTTTCAATCCTTTAACTTGACACCCCTCCTCAACCAAAACAGATACAGAGGCATTATCATGGGAGGCCAATATTACTTCATGTAGAACACAATTCCATATGTCGCGGGAAGTATTGATCCAGTTCATTCACTAATAAAAGTCCCCAGCTCTCCTGTGGTTATACTACTTCCCTTTGCAACTGACTTGGATAGGCTCTGCTCATTATCAAGACCGGTGAATAAATAAATAAACTGGCCAGGCCTTCTCCTTGTAGAACTGCATGCTTTATTTTGTCAAAGTGTGTAAAAGTTAACCAGGGATACAGGAAAAAAGTATGGGAATTCCATAATGAGAACATGCCATGACCTTTAGCCACCTAAGTATTTCCTTATGGTCTTGATTTATTTTACAGA